TCTAGGTTTTTGTCAATTTTTCTTCCAGATACATCGGAAAATTTGAAAAAACAGTGAAAACGAGCGAAAAAATTGTAAAAGTTTGAATTCGCGCGCTTTCACTCACCGGGCGGCCTAGAAAAAAGCTGGTCCCTAAGGGCTTTCAGCGTATTTTTCGATGCGTTTTTCTCGCCGAAGGAATTTTTTTTGAATTTTTTCTTTATTTTTATGTCAATCTACATGCATTTCTGCACATTTTGATGCAATAAAAAATTTCACCGTACACCACCTTTAATAGAAGAGCCCCCATACTGCCAACTTTGAGCTTAATTATCTCGGCTCCTATAACAGATATCAAAAAATTGTCAATTAATAAAATTGTTTTGATATTATGATAAATAATTTGTAAGTTTACAACTTTTTCGTATCTTCGACAGGTATCGAGGAACATAAAATAAAATTAATATTACAGCTTTCACGATAGGTCAAAGTGGTCCGATTTTTCTGAAATTTTCAGAAAGTATGAAACACAACTTGTATTTTTTCAGATTACTCTGAAATTTCGGAACAATCGCGACGAGTCGTGCTGACGTTCCGAAACAAAGTGATATCCGCACTTTTCGCGTATTATGAAAGTGTTGGACAACAAAATTACGCTGAGCGATTTGGGAATTTGGTACTAATGTTATCTGGAGTCTCATCTGCAGCCGCCACGATGCTTGAAGCTTATCAGGTAAACCATTTGAAGGAGAGATGAAGACAACGAGACATTCTAACTGTCTGCGTCTCTCGCCTCCTAAACTTCAAATTCGCATATCTCGACTTCTAGGTAAGCTAGAAAAGTGAGTTTTGAACAGAAATGTACAATTTTTTACATTTCCAAAAATTTCAATTAGACTAGAAAATTTCTAAATTTCGAAAAAAAGGGAAAAATTCAAATTTTCAGGTGATGCGACTCTTCAAAATCACTCCATTCGATACGTTGACCCAAGAACTTCTCTTCAATATTTGAAAAAAAAACATTTTTTTTTTGATTTTTGGCTTTTGTTGAATTGTTTTGTTTCCCTGATTTCTTTCACACAAAAAAACTTTCCCAGTGTAAATTCCCACCCCGTTTTTTGCTCAATTTTTTAAACAGCCACACCCGATGAAGAACCTCTCTTGATTTGTACATTTTCCTCCCTCAATTCAATTACTATATCACTTTTTGAAAATCTGCAAAATTTACGGGTTTACGATTGACAAAAATGAAACATGTTTTATTTGCTGAATTGGTTGTTTCAACTCTAGAATTTCAGAAAACATTTTTTTATTTTGTAAAAATCTGAAATTTTGAGAAAAAAGAGAAAAAAAGCAAACAATGAAATAATCGAAATTCCAAAGTTTTGTAATTTTTGAAATTTGGAGAATCTGAAATTTTTGAAAACTAACTTTTGAAACGTTTTGCAACTATGACATTTCGCAACTATGACGTTTTGCAACTATGAAGTTTTGCAACTATGACATTTCGCAACTTTGACATTTCGCAACTATGACGTTTTACAACTATGACATTTCGCAACTTTGACATTTCGCAACCATGACGTTTTTCAACTTTGATATTTCGCCACTAGAAAAAAAATGAAAAAAAATCGAAACTCAACTTTTTGGATTTTCGAGAATCTGAAATCTTTGAAAACTAACAACTTTGTAAGTTGGAATATCGAAATTTGGAAAAGAAACTTTTTGAAAATCTGAAACTTTCGGAAGTTTCCAGATTTCCCAGATTCTCGAAATTCCTGATTTTTTTGTATTTTCTGTCTTTTCAGAATTTTGTTTTTCAAATTTTTGGGATATGGAAGAGAAAAGCTTGTGGGTGCGGCCAAAGGTCCCATGACGACAACTACAGTAACCTAAAAATGTTTTTTTTTCTGATTTTTTTTGGAGAAAGGTAACATGAATAATCAATGCAAATCATTGAAAATCGAGATATTTGAAAAACGGAAAATAATTTTCAAAGGGTTACGGCAGTTGTCGTTGTCGGACCTTCAAAATTGCGAAATTCTCAATTCTAGTCCTTTCTTTCCTTTTCCATCTCGTAACTGCTTCTCACTACGCTTCAGCCGAACAGCGGAGCGTCTTTGCAAGCGCACAGGGAACGGCAGAAAGGGTTTGGGGGTAGCTTGCCTGGGCAACTGTAGCATAACAATGAATTACATGGATTCCTAGACAATTTCAAAATTCCAAGAAACTAAAAAATCTAGATTTCGAGAGTTTTTTTGGGGGGGGGGGGGTAATTCAGGAAAGTCGATAAAATAAAATAATATCCAGAAATCGCAAGTTTTGAGAACTCCCAAAATATACAAAAATGGAAAATTAGAATTTTTGAATTCCGAATTTTTGTAATTTCAAAAAATTCGAAAATGTTAGTAAATTTATCGAAAACTCTGAAATTTAAGATTATCTGAGAATTTTTGTAGGTTGTAGTTTGTAGTCGCCACTTCAATAGTTTCCCAGTCTCTGTGATTGAAGGTCTCACAACGACAGCTACAGTAACCCAAAAATTTGGTTATTTTCCAGATTAATTTTCTCGATTTTCACTTTCGACGAGTTTTATGGTAGTTGTCGTTGTGGGACCTTCGGCCGCGGCCACGGCCGACATCCGGAAAACCCGACACACAGAAAATCATGTTTATTGTTCTAAGAAATAGGACTAAAACACACACACACATATTGTCTATGAAAATTGTAGGCGTGTAGGCGAGGGCGAAACAGACAAAAAAGTATATTCAGATGATGTGAGAAAATAGAAGACGTCAGAGAGAAATTTTGAAGTTGTAGTTCCGGGAAAAAACTTTAATTTTTTGTAAGACCGTCATAGGTGTCTTACGTAGAAGCTAAAAATAGGTATTTAGTCAGAAAATTTTGGTATTTAGAAAATAATAACTGGGTTATCTGATGGTTGAACCAATATGCAAAAAAGTGATTAGAAGAAGAAGAAGAAGACGATTCCAGAGGTTTCCAGAAGACAATTCATTTTTTCTTGTACCAAGTGTTGAAGGTGTCCTTCTCGCTGGGAATGTGAAGACCCAATCGTTTACGAGCGTCGATTACCTGGAATTCGAAAAATTGAAATTCCACGTGGCATCTCTTCTCAGGACCCAATTTTATAAAAAAGTTGTCAACGGCAAAAATGAAGCTCTACTTTTGTTTAGTCTTCTCTGAAAATTTTAGAAAAATCCAAGAAGGGTAATCTAGTTTTTTCTTGCAATCAAAGTTTGGTATAAAGTGCGCTCTATTGGCAATCTTTGGGAAAATAGGAATTTCAAATTTTTTAATCATTCAACCCGCGAAAAAGGTATTTTTTCATAGTAATCAATGTTTAAAGCAACCACGATGTTTCTTTCCGGAACGTCTTGTAAATGCGCTCAAACCGTAACATTCATACACCGCAGTAAGAAAAGCTTTGGTCTCGACGCGAAGGCTTCAAACTGAACTTGTAAGTCCCTATTCAGTGGTTCCATCAAAAAAGCGCGAAAAAAAGTTAATTGAAAAACGTTCCGGAAAAAAAAACACCGAGTTATCAGGTTTCAAACATTCCACGGGGCATATCTCTTTCAGACAAGAAAATTGGAAAAAGTTGTCAACTGCAAAAATGAAGTTCTACTTTTGTTTAGTATTGTCTGAAAATTTCAGAAAAATCCAACAAGTATAAACCATTTTTTTTTCTTGCAAACAAAGTTTAGCCTCAAGTGCGCTCTCAAATAGGAACCCACCCAAACCGTCAACTTTGAGCTCAATTATCTCAATTCCTGTGAAAGATATAACAATTGTCTCAATTGATAAAATGTTGGTGATATTATGATAAATAATTCATCATTTTACAAATGTTTGATATCTTGCATAAGAGCCGAGTTAATTGAGCTCAAAGTTGACGATTTGGGTGGGCGTCTACTAGAGGAAATACGGTAAGCAAGGAATTTGGTTAAATACAACATTTTTGCACGTTTTGTACTTTTTAAAATGTATTGTCAAAGGATTTATGATTTCCAGAACCAGTTTAAGCTTTTATATAGCCCACCTCAATAATTCCAACATTGTAGAACATTGCTCGGCTTCCGCGGGTCATCTCAGAAAAGTCGAATCCATTGATAGCTCCTTGGAACGAGACCAGAAGAAAAAGGAGAAGAAAAATATGTTTCATCGGGGGGAATTCCAGAATAATGAATTTCAGAAAAATCTCAGCCCAATATATCAAATGAGAAATTCCCGCCCTGTCTGGAAACTTTGCGTGGGCGGAGCCTGGTGACGCGCGGAGGCAGCCTACATTTTGCTACAATAATCCCTTCCTAAAAATTATAGTTATCATGCGAGATGATGAGTTTTTTCTCCTCTTTTTTTCTGTTAATTTAAAGTTTGACATTAATGGGAGATTCGTTTTGTATTCCTTTTTTTCCTTCGTTTTTCTTTTTTCGTTCGATCTCGGAAGAAGAGTCAGAAAGCTTAATAATCACGAAGAGAATGGGATGAATTGGAGGCGTTGGTGGTTATAAATTATGCATCCAGACGGCGAAGGAAATAGAATCTTATACTTTACTTGAATACTTTGCAAAGGTTCTATAATGGACCTACGGGAATAGCATTTCGAAATTATAACATTTAAAAAATTCGAAATTATTACTTTCCAGAGATTATCAGCAGAACGCACTTCATACAAAACTTTGATTACAATAAAAAACTGGTTTAGCCTTTTTGGATTTTTCTGAACTTTTCAGACAATACCAAACAAAAATAGAGCTTCACTTATGTAGTTGACAACTTTTTCCCATTTTGTCATCTGAAACAGATATGCCACGTGGAATCTTCGATACCCGAAAATTACCTAAAACTTCATTGCCTTGAACAAAGTTTTTCTTGAGAAAATTTTTTCCGAAACTCATCCTTTCGGAATAATATATTTCCTTTTTTTGCAAAAAAAATGCTTGAGTGGATGCTAAAAAGAGAAACAAAAAAAGTTAAAAAGATTTCGAATTGACTATTTTCATACTAAAATTTCGATACTATTCGAATAGTTCCTGTTTTGAAAAGTGGATTTTCGGATTCTACGTATTTCAAAGTGTCAGGCTATCAATTTTCAGCAATTTCCCTCGATTTTCCGTTGCAGAACAGTTCATAAACGCAACAAATAGAGCCTAGCGCGCGTTCCACCACAAGCAGCCGACACTTCCCGGGTTCGCGCCGGCCACTATACTTTGTGTGGCAGCCGACTCCGCCCACTTTCTCTTGAAACTGGGGAGAGGCGAACAGAGGAAATGCGTTTTCAGAATAAAATACGATTTCGGAGAGTTTAGATATTTTCGTGGTTTTTTCGACGGAAATGGATAAAAGGCTGAAAATGATAATTTTTGAGACTAATTTCAGCTTTCAGGGTCTACAATGAGCCAAGTTTTGAACGATATAAGAATCGCGACTTCCAATGATATGACTATAAATCAGAATGCTTCTTTTTTGTTTTAATATATTTTGAAGGAATCCAGAAAATGTTTAAAATGTAAAGAGTGTAATTTGGTTGTGTGTTTTACCATGAAAAAATGTTTCCATCATTGTTCCAGTAGAATCAAACTTCGAGTGTTAAAAGTCAAAGAAGTTACAAATGAGCTTTGAAAATGTTTTAAGCAGAAACAGAGCTACATTTTTGTAGTGAACAGTATTTTTCTATCACTTCTTCTGAAGGAGTTATGTCAAGACCAACTCGACTAGCGCGGACTCGCGCCGTAGGCGCGCCAGCCAGATGGAGGCGCTTCAAAAAGGCTAATTTTTGTTCAATATTTTGATTTTGTTCAATATTTTGAATTTTTATATAAAAGTTTATAACCGCATAAGAAGACAAATAATATGTGCATACAAAAATATATATTTCAAAAAAATTTTGTTATTCCTCCTGAATAATCATAACACTACTATTAAGTGGAACAGTCAAATGAGCACTGCTCTGTGACGCTTTTATATTTCCCATAGCCACTGACAGCACCACACGATCCAGCCCAGTACCCACTGATCGCACCCTTCGCTCGCCTCTCTTGTTGGGCGCCTGAAAAAATCGATAAATCAATAATAGATCATTAATAGATAAAATCCCATGCCAAGAAGTTACTACAGGGTTACGCTATATGAAAGGAAAATCGAAAAAAACTGGAGTATAAAAAGAAAAAGTGTTAGAGCTCTGTTATCTTACCACTGGACTCGGTATCACTTCCGTTTCTTGTTTCGTCTGAATTTTTTCTTTTTTTTTTTCTTTTTTTAATTACTGCCTAGAAAATTCTCGGTCACTGTCTCCTCAACTTACATCGTAGATCATGTAACCGCTGCCAGTGTCACAATAGCGTACTGTAGTTGCTCGGCATCGTTTACTGCCGAGACCCTGGAATAGAGAGAGGCGATAGAGAGGGGACATGCGAAGAAGTGGGTGTGATTTTTTTTTTCTAACTCTTGATTTTGGTGGCCTAGAAACCCAAAATCTGGAAAATCTAGGCCAGGGTGAATATGGTTTTAAAGAGTATGATTCGACAGTTCCAAATCAGATTTCAGATTTTAAAAATATTAATTTTGGAGCGAGTTATAGCCAATTTAGTTTGATGGCCTAGAAATCCAAAACTAGGCCAGAATTTTCCAAAAACTTGAAATGATCATAACTCGCTTCAAAATCAATATTTTTGAAATTTGAAAATTGATTTGGAACTATCAAATCAACTTGTTAAAAACAATAGACATATTTTCTAATTTTGGATTTCTGGGCCACCAAAAATAGTCATAAATGGCTCCAAAATTAAGATTTTAGAATTTTGATAATTGGTTAATACTGTAAAAACTACAAGGGAATTAGCTGCTGCAGTAATCTACAGTAATCTTCACGAATATCGTCCCATCACCTTTTAAACGAAAAAAACCGGAAAAAGCGGAAAATAATCTTTAAAATAGCTGAAAACCCCAATCAGATTTTTTCTTGAAAATTCACAAAAAAAAACTGAATGTTTACTTTAATATTATTCGAATCTAAATGATTTTCTGCACAAAACAAAACTTCGAAATTTTTCAAAAAACTGATTTACCTGATTTGTGCGTATTTTTAGTGTATTTTAGTTAGTTACGAGCTCAAAACTAACGATCCTAAGTTAGTAGTTCTAACTAGAAGAGAAGCCAAAGTTATCAACAGAGCGCACTTACCGTATACGGTTTGATATTCAAGTGTGTCAACACACAAGTGTCCACATAATCCAACACCTCACATCTGATTCTCGCATTGCACACCAGATAAATCGGAAGTCGACAAGCGCTGGCAACTACCGTAAGCAGAGATACCAAGTCCGAAGATAAGGTGTACAATGGACGGATGTTTTCAGATAACAGCGATTCTTTATCCACCAATTCCCAAGTGTAAACGATCACATTCAGTAGGTTGGATGCCAGATAGGAGCATGTGACAGCTACCAACATCAACGTGGCTGCTCGAATATTTTGACGGTGTTCTGACGTGGCGAAGCGGAAGAGCTTAGCTCCGAGGTGTTGGATACGGAGACGATGCATAATTGCAAAATTCAGGTAAAAGCACATTATGAAGGGAAGAGCCACAGTGAGCAGGTTGCGGAACCAGAACTGGAAAATTTTGTTATTGTGTACCCTGCATTTTTGAATCAATTTATCCCGATTCTTGTCAAAGGTATAAAAAAGTTGTCAACTGATAAATTGTTTATCATAATTCTACAAACATTTCATCAGTTGACACATTTTCAATATCTTTCACAGGAAGCGAGATAAATTAGCCTGAACTTGACAGCCGGTAGTGTCAAGGAACTTGGAATTTTCTGAAATTCTCAAAAGTTTCAAACTTCAGACTTGCTTGGAAATCAAACGTAGTATGAAAATTTACAGTAGCCTAAACTCTTTTAAAATTTCAAAACCCACTTTATACGCTGTTTTATAAGGCTCGGATTCTGAAAAATTGGATGGCATCGCGGTGAGTGATGTCACTCCAGTGCAATTTGCGTTGGGGACCACCTAAAAAAAAAAGTTTGTACATTTTCTGCAAGTGCGCTCTATCCTAAATACCTCAACTTCAAAATACA